AAGGCAAACAAGAGATAAGACTCACTAGTAGGAGCCACAGCGCGGTAAGCGTGTTGGATCCGTGCCTATAGAGGCCCTGCATCCCTGTTCATATTCTGTCAACTCTGTAGCTCAAGCTGCACTACTAAGCAATTTCGTACATCAGTTTTAGCTCGGAGTTTCCACTAAAGGAGCAGGCGCACAAAATTCACGCTGTCCATAAAGTTCCAATAGCATCTCTGTGGACGCATGCAAATCACCCCTACTCCGGAAATTCAAAGCAACAGTCCAAGCAGGGTTCCAAACACTTGCAGGTTTTGGAGAGCGCGACCGGCTGCGGAGACATTTGCGGCCGTTGGGACCACAAGGACTATTTCAGCTCGGTCCTTTAAAGCCACCGATGTGATGCTGCAGTTTTTTTGACTTTAGACGGACGCACTTTCGCCCTCGCGGAGAAGGCAATCCTCGAATGATCGCTATATCTTCCGAATTACTTTTCAGGAGCATGCTTCGTTCGACGTATTGGCAGGTTCAGACAACTCGTCCAACACGCGTCTTCCTCCATTGCTGAGTGGCAGAGGGGAGTCCCTGTCTAAGTCCCTGTTCGTTTCTTTTCTTTGTTTTTTTTTTACTTTTCTTTCATTATCGGTCAACTTTCACCTACAACTTCATTATCGGTGGTTTCTGCCCGCGAATTCGTTCTTGGATTTGCTTTAAGGGAATAAAGTTGGATGTACCGCTCGCGTTAGTCTACATATATAAGGAACGGCGAGAAATTGGGATTGAAAGGGGAAAGTGAGGCGCAGACGATCAGTTGTTCCACGGAGTTTTCCGAAAATGGTTATATTATGAGTAGCACCCATAGGTGAGATGGATCGAGCTCAAGGGGGACGCCGTATCGTAATGTGATGGAGAAGAGAAGCGCGCAGCGACGAGTAAAAATAAACCAGAGATTATTAAGTTTTGAGTGTTTTTGAAATTCCTTCACACTACCGTAATTACTGTATACTTCCTCAATATGATGCATCGTTACACCACGTTTACCGGTGCTTTTTGAAATTGATCCCCCCTCCGACTACAATGAACTTACAGAGTTCGTCGCCGAAGATGTAATGTGAACTTGATGTCTTCATAAGCTTCTGGGCAACATTCGTAGTATTTCACGGAAACATTCGCGGTGGAGTCTGTAAGTACTCTCGGGTTGAAAAAACTAAGTGATCAAGAAGTTTGAAGCTCACTGAGAATAATCCATTCCCCATTGGGAATATATTCGGAAAAGTCGAAGTCACCAACAGCCAGCTCGATTTTATCTCTACTGAAAGACCATGAACCGAACTGCAATACGCTCTCATTATGCTGTGGCCTCGGGAATCTAGAAAGCTATTAATAATCAGCTCACTTTGAAGAAGCAAATTTGTTCGTCAAATGGGAACCAGTAAATGTCAAGCTTGCATGAGATTTTGAATATCCCTGGTGGCACCCAATTCACTGAGCCATCGTGGTAATTGAGCAGATTTACTTTGTACGTGGAATCGAATGCTGGATCCACGCTGGAAAGAAATAAATTCTTGTGAAGATAAACGTAAATAGTCAACACTAGTACCTGTTGTAGAGAAGAATGTCTGGTTGCCAAAGAGTTCCAGCCGGATGTCGGAGGTCCGTCACGTTTTCGTAAGCACTTGGTTGCCACCGTAGGTTTTCATCCCTCCACGTAAACCTAAGCCATGCGCTTACCTCCAGCTGTTCTTCCTTTTCGTTCTGTAATTACCACTCATGTGTGCATACTAATCTCTAACTGGAATAGTAGAGAAGCTAACTGAAGCGGAATGAATGCGGCAAAGCCAACCAAAACATACGGGAACATATTTGGTGGGGGTCACAAAGTGATAACGACTGATAAGAGCAGATAAGAGGCGCTGAAACACAAATTTCACGAAATTCATAGTGCGCTTCGCAGCAGTCGTCAGGAGCAAGTTGAATGCGGCAAAGTCACCATGAATATAGTCAAAGGTAATAAAGAATTCTAGATGATGGCAATCCGAGAACCAAGTGGAAGCTTTACCGCCACCAGCATCTGTAAACGCATAAAAATCTTTGCGTTTTTTTGAATTATTTACCAAAACGAACGCATTTTTTTCACAGCAATTTTTTTCTCACATACGCATTTTTTTTTCGTCCTCTAACCTAAACTGTCGGTCTCAAACCAACGACTTATGCATGAGATAAAACCATGGTTTTTTTCGGGGAGTATCGCTTCAAACATCATTTCGAGAAATGAGCTGACTATATTTCAACACCATCTCCAACTAGGCTATCTCGTAAATGATACACTGGTCCACTAGATTTGGAAAAATGCAAATTCATTTTTGAATATTTCAAATTGCCGGATTTGCTGATCACAGTGGTACCTTGTGCTCACATACATTACGCAAAGCTTCGTTACTTCCAAGAAAAAATGTGAAAAACATGTGAAAAATAGACAAATTTACAACACAAATAAAAAACATTATCAAACACGTAGAATGTCAGTAGAAGCGAAAAATCAACATCTTACAATCAATCAACATCTTACCAGATTGATTATCTGTTGCATAGCTATGCCAAGGGTGACGACCACAGGTTTTGTGCTATCTAATACTGGCCGTTCCTCACGCACGTAGCCAGCCAGTAGATCGTTCATCAAGCGCATCTCAGGAGGTGAACATCGAACTATCGGAATCAACGCGAGCGCCAGCAGCATTCCTTCAACGGACATAGTATATGAGTACCACGGTTATATGCACAAGACATCATACTACTGTAAAGAAGCGTAGAAAATGAAAAGCGAAATAGGTAACGTTCACTCCTAGGATAGGAGTGAGTAGAGGCATCTCAGCAGAAAAGTGCTTAAAGTAATAAGGTTCCGAGGGCATGTCTGATGATGTCGATGTTTCCTTCAGTTTTATTCTACATAACAAGAAATGGGAAGCTGAACTTATTGAATGACCAGTTCGGACTCGCCGCTGGCACGCACTTCAAAAAATAGGCTTCAGTGAAATTTCACGGAACATTTTTCACAAGTGTCCTCACTTCTACTTGATATTCTACTCTACTCCCAACGAAGACGGCCGAGCTTTGTCCCCAGCCCAACAATACCTATACTCTACTCAGCCTAGCTTTTCAAGTTTTCCGCGGTCACCGGCTGTCAATTTCGGGCCCTTAACTGAGAGCGAATTTCACATTTTTCCATCGGAAGGAAACCTCCAAAGAGTTATACCATTCGAATGCACGTCGAAAATACTATGCAAAACACGGATATGAAAGGGGAGCCATGAATTTTTTTATGATTTCCTCATCTTTTGCTTGTGCCTTACTTCTTCTTCCGTCCGATCACTCGACTAACAGGTTACTGATGCCTCTTCTCTTAAGGTCGCAGTAACTGGCTGATGACCTTACAATCCCTTACAATTGCTCGAGGGATTTCTTTGCACATAAACAGACACCTACACTCCCAATCTTTTAAAAAAAACCTAGGTGACCGGTAATTACACTGCTGGTCGAGTGCTCTCCGTCAGCTTTCTTGAAACCGTAAGCAAAATAGCAATAACTTTTATTCGGGTAACGTTTCGGCCTTGTCGCCTTCGTCAGAGCCTGGAAAGTCAAAGATAAGTGCGATTCATCCTGCAAACGCCATTTCAAACTTCAAGAACAGTCCCCTAGACCCAATGTTTATAGAAAGGCATCGCAATCACAGAACACTCGGACCCACCTTAACGAACGATCGGACTTGATGTGAACGGCTGAATGTTAGCCGTAAAAGTTATTGCTACATATCTTGGTCACGGTTTCAAACAAGCTGACGAAGAGTACTCCAAACCTTGCCACAATTTAGTAAAATTCGAACGTGGATACTGTTGGTCGAGTGATCGGACGGAAGGAGAAGGCACACTAACAAAAGTTGAAAAAAAATAAATGAAATATAAACAAAATTAAAAAAATAAATAAAAAACAAAATTAAGAAGGAAAAAATAAAGTTATACGAAAAATTAGGGCCCTAATTTCATACCAATGCATAGTATTATACTTTAGATGGGCATTCTTATGGGTCAGCTTTTGTGAGTAAATGTGACTTTTTCTTTTGATGAAAAAATGTGAAATTCGCTCTCAAACAGGGGCCCGAAATGAGCCGGTGACAAAGAAAAAACTTGAAAAAACTTACTACCACAGTGGTTAGGCTGGAGTAGAGTAGAGGTATTGTTCAGCTGGGGTCATAGTTCGGTCCATTTTTATTATTTTCCACTTCGAAGAAGCGGCTTTGTTCAAAAATGGAATTAACGAAAGAGACCTAAATGGGGGGGAATGTATGCATCAAAGTGACCAACATCACCTGTAGAGCACGCTGGCCTTACTTTCATTGTATCTCAGCGTAAAAGAGGAGCATAGAGACTTGACAAATGCTTTCATTGGAAGCTGTTTCCTGTGCTTATAGTTATGGCGAGCAAGGCTCGCTAATGAGTCGCCTTAGGCACTTCTGAAATTTCGGAAGGTAGACTTATAGAACTCGACGTGCTGAGTCTAACAGTAACTTTTTCTTGCAGAAAAGTAAGCAGTGATAAAGTTTTAACAAAAGATCGAATATGATGTGGATCCGCCCTTCCGAGGCATTTTTACAAACTTATGGAAGGTACTCTATAATTATGCAAGGAATTTACGGCAAGGTATTCGTGCACAAACCCTTCGGGCTTGGTTTTGTGAGGATTGATATACTGTTTCTATTGGGGTGCCGTGTCCACGAAAGGTTGCCGTTATGCTCGTGTGCAGGGGCTAAAGCAAGTTCCCATGTGCCAGGTGGTACTAGTATTGTGGATTCACTAGCGCTACGTGCATCTTTATCTCCTCTGTGGCTTTCAAAGGACTGAAACTCCTTCAAGAATCATTGCATTTGGAGTACTGTGATGGGTAGAATGCATCCACAGAGTTACGAGAGCATTGAATATCACGCCAGTTGAAAATACCGCCATGTTCTTACGTTTGCTGACTTTAAGGAAGGCTCGGACTCTATGGAGAAAGAAGCACCACCGAAGTCTAAGGCGACCAGGGCTTTCGTAGTCAACACATGAGGCACCTAAGGATTCAATGTAAGCTCTAGAACAACACTGCAACCAGGATTTCACACTATACAGGTAACTTTCATCGACGAGGGATCTGACAGGGTCACCCATTGAAAAACGGCAATAGAGTTCAGCTGAATGGGCGAGAATGGCGTAAGCGACGGCCAGAAGCTTCATCGCCTCCGCTTTGTTGATGAAATCAAGTTCATAACACAGGATATCAAGCAAACAGGGAACGGTGGATGCGACTGCGGCCGGTAAGGTCGACCTGAAGCTGAACCTAACGAACACTATGTGTATGAGAAACGGATTGGTTTTCCCGATGCCTCACTCACGCTTAACGGAACGAACATCTCCGAATACGTGTGCCAGGTCGATAAATCGATATGTGAAAAAACTAGTTCAGGAGCGATCGAGGGATTAAATAAAGAACAGAAATGTCGGAGAAACAACGAAGAAGAAGAAGAGCATCCTGCACCATGCACCTGTTCGATTCTGCAGTCCATCCTTCCTCTACCTACGCGTCAGAGACTTGGACTCTGCGCAGGCAGGACGAGCATGCGGTCAGCGTTATCCAACGCGCTGTCGAGAGGACGATGCTAGGAGTAACCCTATACACGCAAGTGCAGAGGGGAATCCGGAGTGCCGAACTACGCCAACGATCGAAGATCAGGGACGCTGCCGTTTTCGCCAAGGAATCGAAGATAAGGTGGGCCGGACACGTCATGCGATTTTGCGATGACCGTTGGACCAGAGCGGTTACCGACTGGATCCCTCGGGACGTCAAACGAACACCTGGACGACCGCCGGCCCGATGGTCAGACTTCTTCACGAAAGCTCTGAACGAAAGGAATGATGGACTCGTGTCCCTCGAGCAAGGAGGATCCACTGGACCACTCTAGCACGCGACAGGGACGAATGGAGACGTTGCTAGGCGCCCGCTCGAGAAACTCGATGAACAAAAAGACGCCAGGTGATGCTGTTGGTGATGGCTTGATCAAAAAAGAGACGAAACCCTATAAACGAAATGACTGAAATGAAATGGTATGGTTTCTTCGGTCCCTTCTCAGGCGAACCTCATTATTTCGTCAATACATGTTTTTCTATTGACGAAAGAAGAACCATAAGTAAAACGAATAAATAATATAAGCAATAAATGGATCTGAATAGTTTTAGCAACTGTTTTTAGAGCATGTAATTTTCTCTGTTTTCCCAATGTTTCAGAGCGTTGTGTGATTAGTTAGTTAGTTGAAGTTAATTAATTAGAAGTCACACTTGTGGCATTCCGCGAAGAGGGCAGGCGGTCCATTACCGCATTCTTCGGAAGAAATTCTTGGAAGTGGGCTTGGAAAATGGTTCTTCTTTTCCGCTCCTTTTTTCCGGTACTTTTATTGGTTGCTCCAGACACAGTTGCACCTCTATACAAAATAGTTCAATTTTTTCATTCATAGTTCCCGAAACAAGCATTCTACCAGGATCTGCGCCTACTGAGAAAAACCGATCTATCCTTCAGAAAAACCGATCTGTCTCCATCTAGCTACTACTTCTACGGGGATGGCCAAAAAAGGCGCGGCAGCAAAAAAACCTTCTCACCAAAGTCTCGGTCTTACGGGAAATGAGGCTTCGAGTGTAAGGTTGAAAAAGCGTTGGTAGCAAAGTTCTGTGTTCACTTCAGCCTCGTTTTCTCCACTTCCACTGAAGGGGAATCATCGCAACCTACTCTATGAACCTCCACCTCATTTTTGTTTGATTGGATTAGCGCCTGAAGACACGGGAAACAAAAAAATGCATTTTTAGTTAAAAATTAATAGACGGCGCAGACTAGATTCACAAGGGTAAAAGGAGCAATTAATAAACGAGTTAGTCAGCACGACGTTGATCAACGTATTCAATCGGCTTATACGATCTTACGAAAACTCACAATTACGGCGGCCATTGCTAGCTGATTAATCGCGAACAACGTTTTTCGGGAACTATGCTATAATTGCACGAAACAGAATCATATTTTGTCATGCGCAACGAAGTTTACTGCCGCGGTAGTTTTTTTTAGTTTTCAAGAAGGATTCGCTCATGAAAACATCACCAGAAGGAGCTTAGCAGAAAGATTTTAAGAAAAACTCTTGATTGCTTCAAGCGTTGCTTTCGACGACTTTAGTTACGACTATTCGCATTTGTTTCAATCTCTTGTGAAAAAGCGAAGCGATGGCGATGCGAGATGTGGGATTAAGTTGGACGCTGCGAACGGACAGAAAAGCACCAGGACCCAAGAGCTGAGAGGCTTTTTTGAAAAAGTATTTTGCGAACGGGAAGGGGGACACAAAGCGCTAACAAAAAGCAGAATTTTGGCACTTTTTCTCAACAATTTTTTTGCAAATTTTCGCTATTTTTAAAAGGGTTTCTTGGACGGCATGTATTTACTAGCAGAACTTATTGTTAAAGAACCGGCAGATGGGGAATGCATCAAAAATGGGCTGGATTTTGACAATTTTTTAAAAGATAGGATTGCCAAGAATTCGATTTTTTAGCATAGAATTCGGCAGTTGAGGCTTCGGGTCAGGATATCTAAGAAAACTGCCAACCCGCATTTTTGTGTTTTTTTCTACGAATGGGCCGGCTTTCTGAGGTGTGCGGGTGATGCGGATTTTTTGAT